CCCCTCTGCATGCCTTACGTCACAGCATGTGCCCTCGATGTTGATAAATAATAGTCCTCTCACAATCAGTCTCAAAATACTGCGAGTATAGCGTTGCATAATTCATTCTTACGCCTGCACCCGTCGTGAGCGGCCGACTAATTGATCGGGATGAACTCTGTGCCTGTTGGACAGAACACCTTACTAAATTTATCATCCCAATCCACAGCCACTTCGATTCTTGATAGTGATGGTATTCAACTGCTGAATCAAATCAATCAAATTCTGATTTCTAAAGCGCCTGAAGTGATCCAGCTTCTGAATCGGTTTTTGAGTAAGTTACCACTACTTATGAGTGATGTAGTTGAACGTGATAAAAGGCAAAGATCTGTTGTCATGTATGGTGTACCGGAGGCCGAAAACGGGCTCTCTCCGTCTTTGCGCCAGGAGCACACGGAGAAATTCGTTTCCGGCATTCTCGATTCCTTGGACATCGAGACCAGACCTGTTGAAATATACAGGATGGGTCGCGTTGTTGAAGGAAAGCCCCGCATTGTCAAATGTGTGTTCTCTTCACGTCGGTTTATGCTCGATATTTTATCCAAGGCTCGTAGACTTCGTTCGTTTTCGAAGTACAAAGAAATCTTTGTGCGCCGATCGATGACGATCGACGAACGCCAAAAGGAGCGTGATCTCCGCGATCGGGCACGCAAGCTAAATGACGATGAATTTGAGGGTAAGAAAGTTTATGTCGTATACAAAGGTGAGATAATCAAGGCGTCTGAAATTCCACGTGTAAAAAAGGCCCACACCTCCACCCTGCTTCCGGCAAAAAACTAGCTTCTCCTCAAACTCCATTTGATAAGTGTTTTTTGCTCAACGCCCGTAGTCTCACGAATAAGATTCATCATTTACATTGCCTTATGGACACCCATAAGCCCGGGATTATTTTCATCACGGAAACATGGCTGAATAATAAAATCACTGATTCTGAACTTTCTTCTGTTTTCCCTTATACAATCATTCGGAAAGATAGACATGGTCGAGCGGGAGGAGGTGTGTGCATTTTTCTACACAATATGATTCTATTTGAAAGGGTTACTATTGACTGCAGATCATTAAAATCTGATGTGTTGTGTCTTGATATTTGTCTGCCTAACGCCGAAAAACAAAGACTGCTCCTTGTATACCGTCCGCCGCAATCCACTTCTAATCAAGATGACCAATTAATTGCTATCATGTCGGACTTATCGGCGACAGTGCCCTATAGCACAATTATTCTAGGAGATTTTAATCTCGATATCGATTGGAAGTCCGGTGTAGCCTCCAGTGCTGGCGCCCAAAAATTTTTAGCAGCTTTCGAGAACCTTTCCCTTCAACAATGGGTTACATTTCCAACTAGGGAAGATAGAACTCTTGACCTCATTCTATCAAATGAGCATTGCATCGCAAATCCTACTCCTCACGCTCCTCTATCAACATCAGATCACAATATCGTCTCTTTTAGAATATCCACCTTTCGGTTTGATACTGAGCTGGTTTCTTATAGAGATTTCAAGTGTGCGAACAAGGAAAAAATTGAACAGATACTTTCCAATTTTGACTGGATGCGTTACTTCGATAACTATTTGGACATTGACGAAGTCTATGGCAGATTCACTGCCGTTTTACTCGACATCATAAATCGTTACATACCCCTCCGACAGTACGTTAAGCATTCTTCTGGTAGATATCCCACGCACATCCGTAATCTTTTCGAGCAGCGTGAGCGACTCTTTCAGCAACTCTTTCAGCCATCACAAAATGCCCTCTTCCTTGATATTTCCAAAAAGCTGGATTTCCATGTAAAGCGCTTCCTAGCTTTTAGAATGCGAAAACTGGCTAAGAACGAGAGTTTAAAATGCTATATATAGGTTGTCTCATAAGTGATGTCGTTTTTTTTCAACCAAAAAATTTTCATCTAAATCATGAAACTTTTACATCGTTTTATATATCATTCGAAAGAGAATTGTCTGCTCTACAAAATGCTGTGTTCCGCTTCCACCGCTATTTCAGAGTTTTCGAATTTCAGGCCAGCAAAATGGGAGGTCTCGCCGGCAAAAATTGACCAAACCGACAACTGGCTGTAACTTTATTTTCCCTGGGGAGAAATCAACCAGTGATATACCCTATACTTACCCATGACCTCTTCTAAACATTCCACTCTTAGGTTGCCGAAAAAGCTTTGCCGTTTTTCTTTTCGAATTGGCTGACGGATAAGCCATAGCAATTTTCAAATTAAAATTGTTCCTCGTAAACGTCATTGTTTCATATCGAGTGGTGTTCCTTTTACGAGCACTTCTTCTGCTCTACTCGCTCATTTGTTTTGTTTCTCTGTTTGTTGGGAATTAGTTCGAATTTTAGATGTTTCGGTATAAGGTGCTTTACCGCGAAAGTGACCACATTTCTTTGAAAAAAATTATCCCTTAGAAAATGAGAAAATCAACCAGTCGTACATTCCTAACTTAGTCATGACTTGTTCTTCAAATTCAACCAGTTCTTCAACGTCTCGGCCATAAAAAAATTTCGACCTAGATCACAGGTAATGGTGCTCGATCGTCGAGTTCTGGTTGAAAAACCAGCTCTGGAAATTGAACGACGCGATTTGTAGGAAAACCTAGTAGTGTAATGATTAGAAGAGGTCATGCATAAGTAGAAGGTACATCATAGATTGATTTCTCCCAAGGAAAGATAATGTTAGAGATAGTTGTCGGTTTGGCCATTTTTTGTCGGCCGGACCTCCCATTTCACAGGCCCAAAATTTGAAAACCCTGGAAGAAATGTGGAAGTGGAACATAGCATTTTGTAGAGCAGACAATTCTCTTTCGAAATGGTACACAACACGATGTAAAAGCATGGAGGTTTAGATGAAAATTTTTTGGTTGAAAAAAAGCGACACTATTTATGAGACAACCTAATAAATCCAAGGTTACAACAAATACAGATATGCACATAACTTTTGAGAAATTCAAGGCAATAAATATTCAACTCATTATACGAAAGCTGAAGCAATTGCTATGATTAAGTTAGTTGTAACGGGAAGCCACATGATGGCAACATAAGTCTACCTTCGGTTTCCGCCGAGTGTTTGGTGTTATCAAGTATCTCACCCCGCACTGTTTTGAAGTATCTGAGAACGCTTAAACCATCATTGTCTCTCACATCAGATGAGATCCCCCAACTTTTCTTCAAAGAATATGCGAAGTATCTTGCAGTTCCCCTTGCACATATTTTCAACATCTGCCTAGTTCAAAGCCAAATTCCAAGTGTTTGGAAGAATTCCTTAGTCACCCCCATACCCAAAACGGCCAACTGCGATCTTATAACCAACTTCAGGCCCATAAGCATCCTGCCCACCCCATCGAAAATCTTTGAGAAAATAGTGAGAAAGGAACTACTGGAATGGATTTCTAAGCTCCATCTCATCCCACCTGAGCAGCATGGCTTTTTGTCAGGGGTATCTACATGTACTCAGCTACTTACTTGTACACATGCTTGGACAGAAGCCATAAACAGCGGGAAGAATGTTGACGTTGTTTACTTCGATTTGAGCAAAGCCTTTGACAAAGTATGCCACTCTAAATTGCTTGCTAAGCTGGAAAGTATTGGAGTCAGGGGTGCTACCTTGAACTTGTTTAGATCTTACCTGCAAGGGCGGAAACTTAACGTTCGAGTAGGAAACTGTATTTCGACTACAAGAGAATGTCCTTCTGGGTCCCTCCAAGGGGGCGTTCTATCACCTCTTCTCTTTCTCATCTATACCTACGACCTACCCTAGTTATCTCAAAACTGACAGCAGGATCTCCGTTGCCGCATTCGCGGATGACATAAAAGTGGCAGTGACTTTTACACAAGATGAGCGGCATGAAGACAGGCACTGCTGAACAATTGTGTTGAAAGAATGATCAGCTGGACCCATTCCTAGAGCTTGGAAATCAATTTCTAGTAACTTACTAAGTCAATTCTAGTAAACGTACTTATTCTCGCTTGGAGTGACACCGCTAGAAATTCATTTCCCAAATAAGATTCCGTTGAGGCATAGTGAGCAAATAAAAGACTTAGGGATCAAGCTCTCAAAAAATCTGAGCTGGAGCATTCATGTGGATGAAGTCAGCAACAGAGCGCTCAGGTTGGTCCATCTTCTATTCAGGAATATCCATGGCGTCAATGTTGACATGTGGATTAGGCTCTTCAAATCATACATCCTTCCAATGTTAGAATACTGTAGTCCCATCTGGAGTCCATACCTTGTCAAAGACATCCAAAAACTTGAGAAGGTTCAGAAAACCTTTACGAGAATCTGTTCTACAAAGTTTTTTCCGGATATGAATTACCCCTACACTCTGCCATCTTATCATGACCGCCTTCTGAAATTGAATTTGAAGAGTCTTCTCCACAGAAGGATTGTTTCTGATCTAGTCTTTGCTTTTAAGATAATCAAAGGCGAGTTACGAATCCGTCCATCGAACTTTTGGATTTTTCGGCCTTCGAGCGGACGTCGAGGCGGCTTCCAAACTTTTGGCCACGCAATGGGCAAATTTCATAAAAACAGCTTCGGCACAACAGCTTCATTCTACGCACCACTCGGTGGCTGCAGCGTCTACCTCCATTCCTACTTTCGTGTCAAAACTCCTCTCAGTTCAAAGTAGCGCTAAAGAAGCTCAATTTATTAGAAGTTCTTGGTATTGAAGACGTATCATAGTCGATGTTCATGTTTCCTGATGTTTCCTGTCTGGTCTTCTGTTGTTGCTCAGGTTTAGCAGATTCACTCTTGGGACACTCTTAAATTCTACAGTAAGCGAATCCATCACTGTTGAAGGTGATCCCCTCCCAAAAAACACTTAAACGCGGCTACGACTACTCTAGCCTAAGGATTTGGGAGGATGCGTCGCGGATTCTGTCAAGTTTGCCGGTTCCACGTGGGTGGTCGGCATACCCGTGTCTCGAAGTTCCGGTAAACTCCCATGACCCCGCAAGTGGCGCAAGGGCACCATGGCCGACTGGTGCTGACTTAAACTGCAATGCTAATCCCAAAGAGTTCTGGCTTGAGTCTTCGTAGCTTCGTGTGACTTCGTTTGCGTGAGCACACATGATGCCCTTCCTTGTCCCGTTCGCCGAGGGAAGCAGCTTGCCTGAACAACTTCTTCTCTTCTTTTCCTCATTCAGTAGTCCTTCTTTGCTGTTTATTTCATTTTCATTCTTTTTCATAATTTTTACTTGCAATGTCTTAATAGCTGCCATTATAATTATCAGTTTATGTTATAGTTTTTTCTATTCTTTCTGAGTCATGCAGTCAGTCCCGCTTTGCCTGTTGTAGCTGGCGCGTCATTGTACGCATAAATAAATAAATAAATAAATAAATAAATAAATAAATAAATATAATAAATAAATAAATAAATAAATAAATAATCTTCTTTCCAAAAAAAAGATTTCCACGCGGTTTTAAATGCATTGTCATCGCAATGCCTCCGTATATTGCGATAGCGCTTGATGCTATACATACACTGCGTTTCATAAATATAGGTCCACCCTAAATTTTTGCTATTCCAAAAATTTGCTGTGCATTTTTGGAAAATGCTGCTATTCACCAATAGATTCCCTCATAACGAAAAACCTTGACACTAAAGTTGGAAGAATTTCGGTCTCCAATCACTAATATCTCTTCTTACGATTTCACTGTTTCGGCAGATATGGCTACGCATCATCTCGTACGCAGAAATTCATTACAACAAAAAGTAGGTCATTACAATTTCTCATATGAATGTTCTCCATTAATATAGTTACCACCCTAACCAATATGTTCGGAATGCTGTAACAGTCAAGACACGCTGTTACATTAGGATCCGCATTTGTATGTGCGCCGATAACGTTTCGCTTCTCGACTGCTACCCATTTGCGTTTCCTTTCGTCTGTAGAAAATTCTTAAAATGAAGCCGCCCCCCATTGATCTCCCATAGAACATTCAGGAGTTAATGCGGTCACACAGAGAACTTCCCCTTTGTATATGGTGCTGATACGTGGGGTAACGATTCTTGCTTTGCAGGTATCCACCAGGTAGCGCTGTTGCGCTACACCAAGTTAACAAAAAGCCGCCGTACTTGTATCAGCTTTGCCCTGGTGTCATACCACCGCTTTCTTATGGAGAAATGTACTCAAGTAAACCGATCGTAGAAACAATAGTCTATTGACGTTATGCTAAAACATTATCAGATCAATTGTTGCGTAATAACTTCGTATAGCATAAAGCTAGCTCCATGCTGATTCAAACATATGTACAAAGAGGATTTTTTATTTTACTTTTCTGTGTTATGATGTCCTCGGCCATCCGTGTTGATGGCTTTTTGCAGGAAAAATTGCTTTACGACTCCGAACGTCAGTGAAAGCGTTATCTTTACCAGAGAGCGAGCTATATACTTAAAAGTGTGGTCAATGGAGAAAGGAAGAACGTTCTGCTAAAGTGGAGGCTTCGGTGGACGGAGAGCATGTGGTTGTACCGAGCCCGTCAAGGTCGAATTCGCTCACAACACTTGTGGCTGGTAAAAATGATAGTCCTTCCAAGGATATAGCCGTGGTTGAAAACAACACTCGCGACAAAAGCCTGATGTTCAGTCAGAGAAAGATGACTAGCCATAAGGGCAAATTAGGATTCAAGTAGACGTCACGTCACGTTTTCAAGGCGGAGCATCTCTTGTCGGAAAATATTTTTCAAGGCGGGCCATTTTTATCGAGCCCACTCACTCCTTATATGCTGATTCCAAACATTCGCTCATGGATGGATTATTTTTCTACGCAGTATAAATACTTGTTAGCTGATCCAAGGGGTTGCACTCCTTTGTGTTCTCCAGTACCTAGGGTGAGGACTGAGAGCACTTCATTTTTAAGAATACTCTATGATCAGTATGCAGCAAGTACTTAAGACCTTCCTTTTCCGCCTGCCATGGTCCAATGAAGCGAAATGGTCCTGGCCTAGAAAATGGACACCTCTGCACAGGCCTAAGGAAAAAGAAGCTTCGGAGTGGATCATCCTGTGCAAACAATACTGTATTATAGAAGTGCTGGATGTGTGGAATGAGGAAATCCACCGAAACACCCACACTGTATCGAAAGTGAGCCAAAAAGTGAGCTTCTACCTGAACACTTATTGTTTTAATTGAAGAACATTGAAATGAACAAATGTGTATTGTGATTAGTATGTGATTGAAAAAAAACAATTTTGTGCGAGGGTACCGGAATCTCAATTTGAAATTTTCTCCGTGCCAATAACTGTGTCAAAAATTGAAATCGGACGAGACAAAATGACTTTGCCTTTATCGCTGTCCTTTTCAGAACGCCCACTTGGACCTCCTACTTTCAATGGAATCAGCGTATCGTAAGTTTGCTCTTTTGAGGCATCGGTACAGGATAACAAATTGTTTTTGCTTGGAAAGTGCGTGAAAAAAGGACGTCAATCGTGCAGCTGCTAACAGCCAACTTTCGTGGTCACACATACTGGCAAAGATGGTTGCTTGATACAGAGGTCTGTCGCGCTGCAGAGATAGGCGCACGACTCGCAGTGTCGTAGCTAGCACTACATTTTTGCGCCAAGTGATAGAATTACCAAGTACGTCCTACGATCGCACATACACGCCACGCGCACTCGTTCCGTGACTGTGCCCGGCTCGGACGGGCCTCGCTGTCGGGCATGCAGTGCAAGAGCTGTGATTTATTTGAATCATTTTACAGCGGAGCAAGAGACTGCGTAATTCTTGATTAGTCTTGAGTGAAACAAAAGCCACTTGATAGTAGCATGAGAAGTCGCTAAGGATGATGACATCGGCCGAAAAATATTAGGTCATCTCATTCAAACATGTCCACGGTTTTATTCGAATAAAATGAACAGCAGGAAAGATAAAAAGCTAATACTTTGGTGTGAAGTCAAGCAGATCTTGTCGTTGTTAACGACCCGATCCCAGCGTCTAGAAAACACTGGACACCGCGCAGCTTCTTCATTTCAACAAGTATAGACAAGATGCTTTTGATGTCAGTATAGATGATCAACGAATTGTCGTAGCGCTTCCGAACGAGTAGGGCGTTCAGTTCGATAAAACAGCTGAGGTCGCATGGCTGCAGTTAGGAAAATACGGCTGATAAGAAGAGGCCACAATATCCGTTTGATCGAAATACCTCGTGAGCAATATGAGCTATGTAGGGTCTGGTATCGACATAGGTGATGATATCGTTATTGTAGTTTTATACTGCTATTCCTTTGTCAATTTGTTCGCTAAAGAAACAAGCCATAAAACTTGAGAAACGCCGGAGGTTTTTTCCCGACAGAGCCATTTAAGAGGCACACCTCAGAAATCCATCGCCATAATAATCATCCACGTGAACCCACGTGACTTCTCGTGATCCAATTCGGGCAGTTCCTCATTCGCGTTAATCCAAAGTTGACACTTCTGACTTTGGCCTCAGCGTACAATTACACACAAATTTCGTTTATGAGCAGGGTCCAGTTTGATAGTCTTAAATGCCGTTATCGGCAGAGAAAATCATTGCTACAGACACCAATTCGATTCTGGACTCCTGCATCTGGGAGTAAATGGATATCCAAAAACATGTTCTGTGGACCATCCCCAATTTTTGGGCACAATTTGCGTAACAGGTGCAGCTAGACTGCAAGTCTCGTGGGCAAACATCGCAAAGGTTCAACATCTGTGATGCGCCATTTGAAACCTCATTTCATCCACCCGCTCTTCTTGGGCAAGGTGGACAATATGAACGCGTCCTCAACCACAACTCGCTTCCGTTCTCCCTTCTTTGAGCTCTCACACCCATATCTTCAACGTAGCACTTCGAGAACACTGTATCACGCGTAAGTTGAGCCAGCACACACAGAATTCGAGTTGCGAATTTTACGTGTGTCACCAGTCATCTGGAAATTCCACCTCGATTTGGGTCACTATGAATTCTTTTATGTGTTTAAGTGTTTCCTCCTGCAGCACTATGAACTAAATTAGGGTATACCGTAGCTGGGTGTGCTAGCTTAAAAGCAAAAGCAAGTAGAATGCTCTAGCTCTTTTTACTTTTCCCACCATTTCTCTAGATGTCTGGACATGTTTGAATGAGTTGACCTAATATTTTTGAGAATAACGCCATGCTTTAACACTTAGTGGGTGCGACAATTAGCATCGCAACAAAGAACGCCAGCAGATACATCCTCGTTGAGGAACTTCGTCAAGTTGACATCTGGGCACATCCAGGCTCTTTATGAGGCATTGACGCAATTCGCGATGATTAACATGCATGAGTGTTTTTGTCCCTATTTTTCTGCGTGCACAAATTGAACGCTATGGAACTGTAACTGGTACACTTATTGACGTCAAATCAACACGACCAATCCCGTCACCTAGGTTGTATGTAGGCACACAAACAGCCCCCACTCTGAGCAGATATAGCATAAATATTAATAAATGCAGGTGCATTCTACGTCACTCAAATATGTACGTTGGACCATTGACGCTTCCACATATGTTGACTCCCATAAAAGAGCGGGGATGGTTCAAATGTTACTACTAGACGAGGTCTCAACCGACAAGTTCTTCATCTTCCTCTGGTGATGCTTATCCGTTCCACGCATATTGCTGAGGACGCTGTTGAGGTAATGCCTTACTTCTACCAATATGTTACGCTTGTGCGTTCCTATCGCTGTATACGGCGATATATAGTGACTTCTATATTGTAACTGATCTTAATATTGGGCAACGCCTTTGCACGTCTAAGGAACAGCGTGCAGCTATCAACGAATCACAGGTCCACCCATGTGCGCTACCACATGGCAATAGCTACCATGCAGCCTGATGTAGCGTCTCCGTTATTCCCCCCCCCCCTTGAAGGAAGACGTGTCGCACTGTTATTCCGGAGCGACGATAGTCAAAATTGCAACTTCGCTTGTGGCAGTGACAAAGCACGCTTCTCCGCACACGCGGGCCGAATCGAATCATGGATCGTGTCTCGTTCGGGCCAACCGAACCTTCCATCCCTCCGGGGTCGGTTGATTGGTGCCAGACTTGTCTGGATGAAGGATAAAAACACTGACTTGTACATCGGCTGCTGCCCCCCCCCCCCCAGTCATTGTATCGGCCAAATCGCATTCAAACGCCACTACGAATGTACAAGTGGAAGTAGAATTCGTGCCGCATCCCAGAAGAAAGCGATTGATCAACGGCAAATGTTCCCCATCCTCCATCCTTTGTTTCTTTGAAATGAAGAATATACGACGTGCACAGTCATTGGCTGAAAGAAGCTTTCATACACACTTCATCAGAGCGGAATTTTAGCGGACCATCGTTCCGTTTTCTTGTTCCCACTTCGCGTAATAATTCGTCGCCGCTTAACCCTTAGACTACGACTTTTTTAGAATCGAGTTATAAATGTGTTCTGCGTTGCAATTATCCCTCCCAGCAACAGGCAACCAGCTGTAGAAATTTGGCTGATGTACGTTGGGTGTGACCTGGGATTTGATCTAGGGACCATGCGCGCGGTAGCGGCCCGTCTTGTCATAACACCATTTCCGCTCGGATGATTTTTTTGTTTAATAAATTGGCAATTAATGAGCTTACAACCACACATTTTTTTACAATATAATAAAGTCCCCCGAAAATTTTCACAAAAAAAGTTTTAAAAGGTCATCATTATACGGTCTATGGATGGTACGGAGTAACACAAGGGCACGTTGCAAGCAGCACACATTATACTTTTGTACGAGTTTCTTTCTTTGACATCGCGCAGTACTACCTCGCCGACGCGTTTTTAACTGTAGTGGCATATGGTCCCCAACGTTGATGATCCTCGTGAAATTTTTTGGTGGCCTCTCCCATGCCTGTTCTTGCCCTGTACGCGCTTTTCCTCCCCTGCGCAATCATTTGCTGAGCAAGAGGAACAAGGAGTTTGATCAGCTTTGTTTTCTCGTGATGGATTTCCTGATATATTATCCATGCGTTTACAACCGCCACCTGTAGTATTTTGTATTGATTGTAGTATTGCCTCGCTACAGCTTCTGACATTATTTGTCATAGTAAGAATTAGAAAGCTTCTATATGTGCACAGTTCAGCCATCAAATGAGCCTCCTGCCTCAATATTCCCTGGAACTGTGGTAGTGTCTTTGACTACGAAGTGGGACACATGTGTCCCACCAGTAGTCAAAGGGTT